TTTCAAATCAATATTTCTTTTCTTTTCTTTTCTTTTAACTTCATTTCTTTTCTTTTCTTTCTTTTTATTTTGAGGTTTTTGCTATAGAGTGTGTGCACTCGCCAGAAAGACAGAGAGAGAGAAAGTGAGAAATCATCCCCCTAGGAGAGATGGCCACGCCGCAATCCCTTCTCTTCCATTCTCTTCTCAGGATCTTGGGAATGGAGGCAAATGTGCCTGGCATAAGTTTAAGCCACCAGGTCTGGGACTTGAACTGTGGTCGAATACATGGGAGTCCAGTGACAGCCATTACGCCAACTGCTGGTTCCTCAAATCAATATTTCAGCTACTTGGTGAACTTCTTATGTTTTGTTGACTCTGTGACTGATACTTTCTGGAGTCAGCTATTGTCAGTTTGAGAGGCAGCCAGAGCAGTGAGTAGAAAATAGGCCTTAGTTTCAGAAAAGTCTAAAAAGTCTAAATTTAGATCCTTGTGATGCCAATTCCTGGCTGTGTGAGCTTGGACAAATTAATATATAAAGGGTCAAAAAGTTTATGGAAAGTTCATATTATTGAAAAAACTATACGTGGATTTCAGAAATTTTGCAGCAAAATAAACTCATACTTTAATTCTCATTTTCTACAAACTTTTTGAAGTACCTATGAATATGGTAGTCATAGATTAACATAATTGATGGAAGTTTGTGGAGCATCTACTCTGATGCCAAGCTCTAGGTGTGTTTCTGGTAGGAAAGATAATGAAAAATGTTAAGGAAAAAAAGTAGTTTCAACATTATATGAGTCTTGAGGCCAACAGTTGTGGTGGTTAAAGCACTGGACTCCCACATGGCCAACCATGGTTTGAGTCCTGAACATGGCAGCTCGCTGTATTGCTTTTCCTCTCTCTCTGTCTGTCTCTGGTCAAATTAAAAAATAATAATAAATAAAATAATTTTATATAACACACACACATACATACATACATACATACATACATACATACATATGTAAATCTCGATATAGTTCCATATATAAAAATGCTTATTTTCTTTATCATAAGAATAATGAAAATAAAAAATTTAAGGTGTTGGTAGCACTAAAAACAGCCAGAATATAAAGTTTATAGAAAAGATCACATCATGTTGATGCTGCAGGTATCTTTCTCCCCTGTCTCTCCTTTTTTTGTTTGTTCTACTTTCCCTTCTACTTGAGACCTTTGTTTATGGAGAAATGCCATTAAGGGCACCCTTCCCGTGCATATGAGGCAGACCTACAGATACTTTGAGGTACAGTTCATAACTACTCATCTCTGCCCTTGAGGCAGAGAATCCTTGATTATCCTATGATATTTCTCAGGCCTGTGGCCTTCTAATATAAATTTAGAGTGTTCTCTAATTCATTTCTGACCTTTTCAAGTAAACACTTCAATTTATGATTAAATACCTTATTACTATAAAGAGTTTGTCGTTGCTCAGAACTATCAGGCTAACTTTTTGTTAGGTGTTAGCCTAGATGTCACAATCTCCAGGAAACATTTTCTGATCACTGAAACTTAGTTACATTTACTTAGCTGTAGTGTAATTTAGTTTGATTTAGTTTATCTTTGCCATGAGTTCCCAAAACACCCTGCACTCCCCCTGTCACAGGAAGGAATGATACAGTGATGTCTCTACAACCTCAGTTCAGGCTTTGGTTCACAGTGCTGGCTTCAAGTCCCATCTCCACTTCTCTGCAGCCTTTGTTAAGTTACTTAACCTAAAACGCCTTCTTCTATTCTGTATATTGGGATTAAAAGGGAGCATGCACGTTAAGTGCCTATACAGTGCCAGACACATGGTAAGCAGTAGGCAATTGCTAGAGGCTGTCTCTATCACTCTCACCCTCAGCACCATCACCACCACCACCATCACCACCGTCGCCACCACCACCATCACCATCATCACCACCGTCACCACCATCACCATTAGCACCACCACCACCATCACCACCATCACCATTACCACCAGCACCACCATCACATCATCACCACCACCACCACCACTGTCACCACCATCACCATTACCACCACCACCACTGTCACCACCGTCACCATTACCACCACCACCATCATCACCACCACCACCACTGTCAACATCACCACCACCATCACCACCATCACTGCCATCACCAACACCATCACCAACACCATCACCATCACCATCACATCATCACCACCATCACCATCACCATTTATTGTGATTGCTTTTTGAACATGCTCTTCTTTCTCAATTGAACAGGGACCTTATCTTCTTTATCTTTTTACCTCACTGACTGATACAGTTTCTGACACACAATAGGGGTTTAGTCATTTGCTGAATGGTTGAAATCAATCTTGGTGGTCAAACAATAGCAGTGACTTTGGGGGTTCTGCCATACTTGTTCCTTAAGTCACTTAATTGCCGTCCTCTATGCACTGAAAAGCAATGAGATCAGGCCTAATTCCTTCAAGCGTGAGTCTGGCAACAGAGTAGATCCTAGACAGAGCAGAGGAGGCCATGCAGAGCCCACAATGTCTGAAAGCTAGAAGGGATTTTCTCAGTATCCCAGTGCACACCTTCATCTGACAAAGTATCAAGTCATCGGAAAAGTCATGATGCATTTTGGGGTAGAAAAGCATGGGACAATACGTCATGACTTTTCCAACAACCTGTACATGCTGAGACACCCCTGTGCTCAGCTGGACTAGAAGTGACTGATTGGAGGACTCATATAACTGAAAAGAGGGATTTAGAAGACAATTGAGTCAGAACAATATAACTATTTTTATTTTAGTTTAATTTTTTTCTCCTATCGCCATCTTATCTATAGAATTTGCTATGCATTCCTTACAGTTAAGACAACCATGTGTTTATAAATAATAAATGCGAAATAATAATTAGCCAGAGATAGAAGTCATATTCATTGCACACGTGAAGCGTATCTACCACATATTAAGCAGTTCATTAGAGAATTACATTGTGACACTGATTATCTGCTTTCTAAATTTTATCACAAACTATATTTTAAGTGAATAATAATCTGTGACTGCCTTTGGAAAAAAATATTTCCAATGTAAGAGAGACATGGGGAAAAAAAGATTTAAACCATATTAATATTCTCATTTAATTCTAAGGATTGCAGTCCCACAGAGGCCAACATTCTCATTAGTAGTGCTTCATTCATATCTCCCTAAGTATGCATGCCTGCTAAGCAAGAGCCATCATCAGGTTCAAGTTCAGAACTTGAAGATATTTGATTATATTCATGTACCTGTTATTTATAGATGTAAGACATAAGGATTCCAGAGTGCATTTCCAAGACTCCATTGCACTTACCCAATTATGCCATAAGAGGGCAGCACACACCTGTTTGACAAAAACCACATCTGGTGGCTTCAGGAAAATAGCCCAAGACATTCCTAAATGACCACTGAGCAGGAAAGCTGTTGGCAAAGTAAAAGGAGCAGACAAAGATTTAAAAAGATTAAGACTCTGAGTTTCTACAAAAGGGAATCTTGGAGTTAATCAAGCTGCAAAGTGGGAAAACAATTGAAAAAAAATTCTTCAAATTAAAAAAAAAAATTTTTTGTTGCATTTGAAAAAAATTTTTTTACTAAGTATGATAATATGAACACCAGCTACTGAAGAAAAATCAGATCTTAAAAAGTAGTAATTAATAAGTTGCTCTATAACAAAAACCACTGTACAAAAGGGTCCCTTTAGTAAGGGTGTTCTCTTGAATGACTCAATGCCTTCTGTTCTATTCTGCTTTGCATCACAGGCAGGATTAGTGTATGTCCAATGTCTTAAATAAAAGCATCAGCAATTTTCAGGAATTTTGGTATTCTGGAATTACATAAAGCAGGTTTTGTTTTAACAGAAAATAGACTGGATTTAGACTAACTGAAAGTGAGATACCTGCTTTGAAATGTAAATTCCAGTAGAGCCTTATTAATTCAGCGCTATAAGTCCAGAATTCATGATAGATTGACTTAAATGTCATCTACAAAACTGTACGAAATGGGTTTGCTAAGCTAATGCATAGTCTAAGCAGTTAGGACATGGAAATTCTTCAATTGTTCAAGAATAATTTTAAAGTATAACTCGAATATTAGCCTAAATTTGCAAAAAACCCTTTTGCAGAAATATTATGTCTGGCTTTCTAACCAGCTTCTCGAGTAAGTCTAGCACAGTCAGCCTGGTTCCAGTAGGCAAGCTACTCTTCGATTTCTAAAACGACAGACACAAGGTGTTTGTTGGAGTAGGTGACTAAGGGAACTGACCAGCAGAAGCACTGCTCTTTACTAACACTTTGCTAACCTCATGTGAGTACCGTAGGGCTTTAACAAGGTGAAAACAAAGCAGAGTTTCCATTCATTCCGTTTTGCTTTCTCCATCAGCCTACATTACTAACAGTTTACTCTGTAATAAATATTCTTAGATTTCCACTAACAATTCTTGTTTTCAGTATAGAAAATCCATGCTCAGGAAGCTATATAGATGATGTTCTTGTCCAGTAGCATTCTATTAATTGTGTAAAAAAAGGTGTATTGTTTTGCTTTTGTCAGTGTACCTACGGGCTTGACCATCGCCCATGTGTCCTGACAGTAGTCAGTTATCCAAAGATGCTCCCTGTCAGAATAGCAGATCTCAGTGCTTAGCAAGAACTCCCATCATGTTCAAGTTCAGGACTTGAAGCTCCTTGATAATATTAACGGACCTGTTATTTATAGATCTATTAAAATACAACCGTGAATGCCCACATATGTCCTAACATACGTGAGAAATCTCGCTACTAATTTTGTGTCACTAATTTCCAAATACTGTATATATTAAGCAACAAGGCCTGTCTTTCATGGGCATTGTTCAGGAAAAACTGCTTAATGGAGATGTTTCTGTGTGAATGCACATTCCTCACTAAATCTCTCAGGCAGCTGCTTTAGTTACTAACACCTTGCTCTGCCATCGCTTCGTATACATGTCTAATTTATCAGTTTCTTGTAGATTGTCAGCAGCCTGCTGCCTCCGTACCGCCACAGTGCTCACAACTAGCCGGGAAGCAAGACTGCCCGACGCTCAGGTAAATCCAGCAACCCTTGCCTTTCTTACCCTGCTGCATGCCAATCCTGAGAGCCCTGACCGCCCTCTCCCACACCAGAACTGCTTGTGCAATACTTATATTTTGCTGCCTTTTATTTCAAATATGGTGTATAAACACACGCTGGACCTCAAATCTGTGTGGTCCCAGTGGCAATACAGGAGAGCTAGAGTTTATGTTACCGGCCATCTGCTGGTAGAATAAAGGCTGCTTTCAACTCTTTTGTGTGAGTAAATATGAGGAAACTTCAGAAAGTTCATGGAAAAATGGAATTAATGTACTAGTTTATTTTAGTGCAAAATAATTAAAATCCATATAGTTTTTAAAAATAATTATTAACTTTATTTATTATTATTATTTTTTAATTTGATGAGAGAGGCTGAGAGAGAGCAGGAGGAAAAAGAGGAAGCAAGCTGCCAGGTCTAGGACTTGAACCACAGTCAGCCATGTGGGAGTTCAATGCCTCAACCACCATGCCACCTGCTGACTCAGAGTTTTTTCTGAACTTGCATTTCCATGAACTTTTTCTTTTTTCTTTTTTTTGGTTTACTGTAGTGCACATGTGCTTCCCAGAGAGAGAGAAAGTGAGAAAGCACCCACATGGGAGATGTCCACGTTGCAGTCCCTTCTCTTCCATTCTCTCGGTATTTTGGGCGCACATGCACATGTGCTGGCCTGTTCTTCCAGCTGCTGGGTCCAGGACTTGAACCATGCAGCCATCCATGTGGGATCCAGCTGCCTCAACCACTGTGTTACTGGCTGGCTCCCCGTGAGCTTTTGAAGACCCGCTTGTACTTGGACTGGTCCCATGTTTCTTTACCTTCCAAAGTGGAAAGCCCGGATTGGTTAGGGTGTTTTTCCTGCTTGTCCTTTTCTGTTTGTCTGGTGTCTCTAAAACATATTTCTCAGACAAATGAAGAATACTATAAAGAAATAGATGTAAAATAGGTCTAATGTCTGTTGCAGGACTTTATAAAAGTGTTTTTTATTTTCTCTCCACTTGGTGCTCTCATGAAAACTAAATTTGAAAACAAGAGAAACTCTGTAATTGGCATTCAGAAGAGAGTCCCTGCAGTGACAGTGCCCTAGATATGAGGGTATCTGGAGACTGTTTTTTTTTAAAGAATTATTTTTATTTATTTATTTGACCAGAGAGGGACAGAGAGAGAGAGAGAAAGAGAGGGAGGGGGAGAAAGCAAGACACCAGGTCCAGGACCTGAACATGGTTGGTCGTGTGGGAGTCCAGCCCCCTCAACCACCACACTACCTGCCAGGCCCCAAAACTGGAGAATTTTAAAGGCAGCCTTGCACACACCCAAAACACTGATGGAGAGTTGGCTGACAATTCTTGCTCTGGATGTGAGCTTTCCAAATTGTCATGATTCTGCCTCCTTCCTGGGTGAATTCCCACTCCACCTCGCACCGTCCACTGGGACTCATCATCTTCATCTCTCTCACTTGGCCTCTGAAGTGCCAACCTTTGGTGGACTGGTAGTGGTTTTCCTAGAGTTGGCTCATTGTTCCCTCCTCAGTTTAAGGTGTCTGTTGCTCTCCTGTCACACGAAGGCTTCCTTCGAGCAGAGCAGACCAGACATACTTCTGTATGTGTCTGAGGAGCAGAGGTCAGTAGCACATGTATGTGACCATGGCTTAGAGCCAGGGGAGCCTAGGACCCCGAAGTGCAAGGACACAGTAGCAGCCAAAGCCCATGTATGACCTGGTGTCTGAGCTGATTGTGCCACCAGCCATGTAAGTGGAACCTCAAGTTCCCAACAAAAGGTACATTATTAAATCTGAGAGGACTTCGGCAAGTTTGTGGATACAGTATTAGTTTATTTTGGTACAAAAAGATTTTGAAATTCACGTATAATTTTTTGTTTTGTTTTATCAAATGCATCTTCCTTGAATATTTTGAAGACCCCTCATAGGTTGCCAACCAGGGTCTTCCCATTAATGCCTCAGTTGGCTGTTCCCACCACTCCCAGCAACAGGGCTTTTATTTCAGAAAGGCTCTTTGCTAACATTCTAATGCATTTTGTAATAGCAGTCAGCTCTCGGGTAATTTAAATTCTGTAATTAACTGAATATAATTATAAATGTTCAAGCCTACCTACATATGTGGTGGTTAAGAACATGGGCTCTTCACCTACAGTCCGCTCTCCACAAAGCCTCCCCACCCTCACCCAGTACCTAGGATAGTGCCAAGCTTATAACAGATATTCAATATAAACATTGATGGCATAATCAGTGAATGATCTCCGGAGTCAGAGTTCCTGGGTTCGAGTCCCACCTCCAACACCCACTTGTTGTGTAATCTTGGAAAATTGCTTTGACTGGCCAAGATTTCATTTCTTCACTCGTAAAGTGAAGATAAGATTCAGTACTGTGTGGATTCAGTAAGGCCTGGGCCTGGCCTATAGCATCCGTACAGTCTTTGTTATCAGTACTAACCTTTCTCAGTACCTAACTGTTCCTCAAGACAAAGATCTGTAGTCTCTTATGCAAACTCTGTAATTTGGAGAAGAATACAATTTTAAATGTTTTGATGAGATACATAGTGGAAAGGCTGGAAGGAGATGTTTTTAACTTTAATTTTATTCCACCTTGCTCTTGGAGAGAACCAGTTTGATTAAACAGTTGTGTGGCCCCATTACAGTTGTATGGAGATTACTGGATTTATGTTGGTTGCTACCTCCATGGGGATGACTTGCTTTATTTTTTTTAGAGAGAGATGTTTTTGCTATAAATGTTTTTGTGTGTGTGTTTGTCAGAGAGACAGAGAGAGACAGAAATCAAGAAATCACCCCCCAGGGGGATGGCCATGCCACAATCCCTTCTGCTCCTCTTAGGATTTTGGGCATGCATGTACAAGCACTGGCGTGGGTTTAAGCCACCAGGTCCAGAACTTAAACTGAGGTTGACTACGTGGGAATCCAGCAATGTAGCCATTATGCCATCTGCTGGTCCTGAGATGATTTACGTTTAAAGGAAAACAATTTAATGAATTACAGATATTTCTGGTTTGTTCCCGTGTGACTATAGCAAGATATTTGCACAGTTCAGAATTGTGGGATTTTCACAGGCCTTCTTCCCACCCACACCGCTGCCATGTGGATTCAAGTTAATGCCTTCGCTTCTTCCTACCCTTTCACTTTTGCTGGCATAAAAACGAACACTTGGCCAACATTTGAATTCTAAGTGTACCAGACAAGGGTTAATTTCCTTACACGCATCCATCATGAAAGCACAGTTATTACACCCGTTTCTTTTTCAGTTATCTAATATCCACATTCATTTATTCACTCTAATGTAACAGACAACAGAGCACCTTCTCTGAGCAGAGATCTGAAAAACGTATCTATGCTTTAAGAAAGTCCCATAGCAGGGCTCGGGTATTGAGGTCTTTCTGTGTGCCCTCAACAATGAGGAAATGAGACTCAAGAAGGTTAAGCCACTTACCCAAGGCAATGCATGAGTGGTGTCTAAAAGGGCTGAAACTAACCAAGTCTCCTGGCGTAAAATGTAAGGCCTAGAAGTTTTTAAGACGGTGCACTTAATAAGGGTCCGATGTGGCATAGCAACCCAAAGTTTTTGTTTTTTTTAACCTATCATGACCCAGAAGGGATATAGTAGGAGAAGAGAACACACAGTGCATTTCCCTTTTGTGTCCTGTCAAAATTATGGAGCGCTTCATGGATTTGCATGTCATCCTTGTGCCGCGGCCTTGCTAGTCTTCTCTGTATTGTTCCAACTTTAGTATAGGTGCTGGCAGGTGGGCACATTACACCCATTTGTAAGTCAGGAAATTGAGGTTTGGGGCGGTAACATGACTTGTCTGGGATCAGAACTGAACGGAAGTGGCTCGTTATCCTGTCCACCACCACCGTGGCTGCACTGCAGAGGAGAGGGTCCCGTTTTAGTCACACTGCTAGGAGCAAAAGAAGAGAGTGTTTAAATCATTTGTAGTGACTCTTCCTTAATTAAAAAGGGACATTTAATGAGAAACATGAGAAGATTTGCTAAGAATGTTGAATGATTCCAGATCAGGAGTTATGTTTTTCATTTTGAAAATTTATTTGGTCCTTCCTTCAGTTTATACATTTATCCAAATAAATTTTAATGTGTGTTTTTTTTTTAATAAAGGAGAGTTTTCTCACATTTTGAAATTATATAACTTTTCCATAAATGCTTTTTAAAGACTGACTCCTTTGTGGAGCTAAATTATTTAAACTGTTTATAGACAACAGATAAAAAGAGTGCCCAATGTCTTCTGGTCATGATATTTAAATACGTAGAGACGTAGGGACGGGCACGTGGTGTGGTGGTTAAGGGCGCTGGACTCCCACATGGCCGACCATGGTTCCAGTCCCAGACCTGGCACTTGCTTTCTCACTTTACTTCTCTCTCTTGCTCTGTCCCTCTCTGGTCAAATCAAAATAAATAAATGAAGTTAAATAAATCTTTTTTTTTTTTAAATATATATATATATACATACATACATAGAGATGTTATTAACATTCCTTCCCTTCTATAAAGTAGTTGCTTACTTGTAAATAAAGAAAACTTTCTAAAGATGTCCGATTTTTTATCTTAGTAATAGTTTTCTAAACTTAACAATGTACCTAGGAAAAGTAAACTCTTAAATGGTGAAGACTGAGTAACAAATGGGCTCCTAAAGCTCTTTAGCAATCAGGAATGAAACTGAATTTACTCTATACATTTTTAGAACTCATCAAGTATATTTATTCAAGAAATAATTTCTCGGGAACAACAGGTGGCATGGCGGTTAAGGTGCCGGACACTCTCACATGGTCAGTCACAGTTCGAGTCCTGGACCTAGTGGCTTGCTTTTTCACTTTCCCTCTAAATCTCTCTCTCTCTCTATCTCTCTGGGTGTGTCTCTCTCTGGTCAAATTAAAATAAATGAATAAATAAAATTAAAGAAAATAATTCTTAAAAAAAAAAAAGAAAGAAATTCTTAGGCCTCTAAGCCAAGAACATGTTTCTAACAGGTTAATACACATATACTATATACAGTACGATTTTATTTTATGCAAGTTTAATATAGTGCAATAATATAAAATATTCTTAGCTCCCTTTAATAAATCTGAAAGCTCTTAAATCATAAGGAATAACCTAATGGCAAGTGCTGAACCAAGTGAGTTATAAGTGGTGTATAAGCTATTGCTGCACATTTCAGCTAGACAAACAGGAATGAGGAATATTGAATTACACAGCACCTTCAAAAACATGCCCTTCTTTTATAATGGGACCAACCTGCATATTACTTGCCAAAACTTATGCTACGTAAAGTATTTAGCTTCCTAAAAAGGCATTAGTTCTAAATCATGCAGATTCACAGAAGCACTGTTAGGTCTGTGGGAAAGCCTGTCTAATTAAACTGGAAGCTGTTATTTCCCTCATTATCTGACTATTTGGAGGGTCAAGGCTGAATCTTGTTACACATTTTTTTTTTTGAAGATTTTTTTAAAAACTCAATTTTTAAAAAATATTTTTTAATGTTTAGGTTGACAAGTAAAACCATGCATTTGTTTCTTAGTGTTTTGGTTGAAGTGCCAGTTCACCCATGATTATCTACCACATTTTAAAAATAGGTAGAAAAAATGATTTTATCACCGGTTGCCCTAAGCAGAAGAGAACAGCAAATCTCCTTTTTACACCACTTCTAAAGTTTGGGAAGTAAGAATAATTTCAAACAGATCAAATGTTTTATATAACTATGATTATATTATATATTAAAATTGAAGAGCTATATATGAAGGATCATCTTAGTAATAAAGATAAAATTATTTAATACTAATTTTCATATGATTATATAAGCCTTTAAAACTATTTAAATAAATAATTAATAATGATACAATAATAATAAGCTTTGAAAAGTTTTCTCAAACATCTCCCCTGGCAGGGCAGAAATAAATGGCGTAGTACTAAATTTTATAATACAAGCATAAAATAGTTGTGTTAGAAATGTACCAACGTTTTTTCCCAGTTGAAAGAAAAAAGAATCCTTATGGTATGATTCCCAGGCTGCTAGTCATATTTTAAAAGATCTGAACCTCGTGGGACCAGCAGCTGTCATAACGGTTTTGTTACTGGACTCACATGTAGTCACCTGCAGTTCGCATCCCAGACCCAGTGGCTTAAAGCTCATGGTGGGTGCATGTGTGTGCCTGCCCAAAATCCTGGGAGGAAAATAGAGGAGAAGGGATTGCAGCGTGGCTATCCCCACTTACAGGGGGATTTCTCATTTTCTGTCTCTCTTTCTCTCTACTGAGCATATGCACCCTAAAACAAAAATCTCTCTTAAAAAAACAAAATGATCAGAACCCTAACATGTTTTCCCATTTTATCCTTGAGAGGTCAATGAGCTTGCTTCTTCAGGGCTTTTTATCAAAACATTGATGAGGCCGAGTACAGGTTTTTCTAAACTGGAAGCCCCAGAGGGTTTGGAAGGTCGCATTATGCGTTTAACAAATGGGAGCTGCTGTAAAACACTTCAGCTATTTTTATACCACCAAGCTCACACAGGTAGGGGAAACTCAGTCGGGACCCCCACCTCCAGGCCATGGACCAGTACCAGTCCGTATTAGTACGATGTAAGGCATCCCAAAAGTCATGATGCATTTTTTTCATAGAAAAATACATCATGACCTTTCTGATGACCCAATACTAATACATGAGAAAGCGCACAGTAAATGGAATGAACTTGAATCATCCTGAAACCATCCCCGCAGCCCCACCCAGGTCTGTGGGAAAATTGTATTTCACAAATTTAGGACAGGTGCCAAAAAAGTTGGGGACTGCTGCTGAAGAGCAGATTGGGCTTCCACAGGCAAAAGAGTATCCTGTTGAATCCCAACTCAAAAGTGAACTGTAGGATCCTCCCAACTCTAATTCCTTGGTCCACCACCAGCACCATCAGCATCACCGGGAGCGAGAAATGCAGTGTCCCAGGTCCCACTCTGCCAGATCAGACTCTGCCTTCTGCCAGGCTCCCAAGGCAGTTTGTGCACACACTCAGCCCCAAGACCTAGGAAAACGAGGCTGTGCAAAAACTGAAGGGACCAATGCTAGGAGAAAAGTTCACCTATCATTTCCTCAACATGTTTCATTTTTCTTTTAAATGCCTTGTTTCAGAAAGCCACGGTTCTCTTGGCATGCTTTAGATTTAAACCATGTTCTGTGCGAATTTCTGTTTCTGTGTTGAAACCTTGTGTGAAAACCATTTGTCTAACCCTCACGGTGCCTGGCCCTAGGTCAGTGCGGTTTGTGTTGACACGCTTGTTTCTTGTTTTCAGTCCTGACAAAACTCTCCCCGAGGAGCAGCCACATTCCAGCTCACAGTGCTCCCCTCTCCACTGTCTCTCCAAGCCTCCTTACCCCTAGTCTTCATCTCCCGTGGACGAACATCTGGGGTGAAAGTTTTGTAGCCACACACAAGATACTGCCCACGACCCAGCGGGTGTTTTCTTCTCGGTGTTAGATGTACAGTTGGAATAGCGTCTGTCATTCTGGAAGATGCCAGAAAGTGGAGAAGAATAACACAGAGCACAGACCCTGGTGTGATCAAACATTTTACAGTTTCTAAGTCACAGATAAACTTCTGCAATCCAATGGCTACAGCTCAGTTCAATCAATTTTAAAAAAATGGAACAGGACAAGTGTATCTCAGATGGCTGGCTTTTACCTCAATAGCGTAAGAGACCTAAGACGATGTAAAATACGTATATTGTAAAATCACCTGTCCCCGTCCTCCAAATTCAGCTAGAGACGTTGATTCCGATATTTTTGTCATGGATATTTATTTTGTACTTTATTTGCCACATGATTTATGTCTATAAAAATTTCTGTATGAGGCAAATTTTAATCCATTTGTTTTCAAATAAGTATACTTTGCTGAATTAAGTATGAGTTTTGATTGAGTTTGAAATCTGGAATTGGCCAGACTGTGGTCATTTCTCTTGCACAAAATGATAAAATGAGGTGCATAAGAATGTTAACAATAACTGTATTGTGCTGCTATCTGATATTGTTTATGCACTTATTTTCTAACCCGTAGCTTATTAACTGCTGGGGTATTTTTTGTTTTGTTTCATGTTTTTCAAACTAGAGTTCTTCACTGGACCTTCTTAAGTAAATCTAAGGAAGAAACTAAGTTAGGATTGAGTGACTTATTCAAGTTTTGATGACATCTTTCATTTTTAAAAATTGCATTTGAGTAGCTGTCTCGGTGCTGCTGCTTTGTGTGTATGTGTGTGACAATGTTCACGAAGGCTAAGTAACTTGAAGGGAAAAAATGATGTGTTTATTTCATGACCAGAATTTTTTTTACCTCTCCCTAATTCAGGGTCCTACTCTAAGTCTTTCCTGCTAAAAGATATTGAGTACAAATGGGAAAATATATACATAGATAGACCTAAGGTAGCCTTTGGTTAATTATTTATCCAGAAAGTATTCAAATTTTGATTAAAACTGTATGTTTTGTTGTTGTTAGGTTTTTCATAGTGAATCTTCCTTGCCAAAAAAAAAAAAAAACAATAGGTAATAAACCTTAGCTCATTGTCTACTGTTGACAAACACTCAGGTGCCTACAATCATTATATTGTATTAAGATACCGCATGGTCCTAGTTCATTTACAGATTCTGCTGGATAACTTTTATGACTTGATTTCAGGCAGCGGATTTTCATAGCAAAATTTCTTTTGCACATAATCTGACAAACAAGGAAAACAGCTAACCGAGCTGAAAGGTCTAACATTCTTGGGCTCCCTAACTCTCAAATGGTGCCCACACAATTGCTCCTAGCCCTGATTCCTTGTCTTTGTCAGGTAGCCTTAACTTATTTAAAACCATACAGGTTTGACCTTTTCATGTCATTACACGTATAACTTCTCTTCAGAACCAACACAATCCTCCCTGTTAACGCAAAGGCTAGTTACTGCAGGGTGTGCTAACGGCTGGAGATGTGGGAGCCACATGGCCTATGGAGTGGACATGCGTGGCACATGTGTGCAGTGGTGGGGGAAGGCCCAACGGTAAGTCATGAAGCACATTGCAGGAGCTTTAGTTAGTCACACGCCTATGAAGTAGTGGTCACTATTACCAAAGCAACCAAGAGGTCTTGTGTTCCGTATTTGAGTGCTATTTTCAACAGTGTCATGTATTATGCAATTGGGAGTACACAGTGGAAATCGTCACCAGAACAGGGATTCTGGTTAAAGTACAGAAACAGGACAAGATGCACCTTCCTGCAGCCCTCCTCATAGCAGCCTACCCTGTGCTCTTCCTACCTGCATTGCCTTGCTATTCCTAGACATGGTCTTCCTTTCACAGGCATTGTATCTGCCTGAGGTCAGGACGAGGAAGACAGTGTGGATTTCATCCGAGTTCAGTGAGAGAAAGCTTCCCCCCACCTCTGCTTTCTCTTTCTTTTTTCTTTTTGTCATTTTTCAAGCATCATGCGTTTGAACCTGAGAAGTGGCATAGCTGCTAAGTTGACTCTTAATAGAAACTCTTTGTGCCTGAGGGAAAATAGGCCTTTTAAAAAAGTACCTCAGAACATCTTCCTGTGTTGCCTCCTAGGTGTTGTTGGGTGGGCCTGGGAATTGAGCAGTGGAAGCCATCTGTGTGCAGTGACGGGGTTGCGGCCCCCAGGACGTACTCGTCTTGTTCTGACTCCTTAGCCCAGGACTTAGGACCAGTGAAAAGCCAGGTCATGAACAAAACATTTATCTCTTCCAAATCAAAGTGTATCCTTAAGTCTATTATAAACTAGTTTTATTTCAGTTATTTTTGTTCACCAAGTGGGAAATGATTGTTTTAAAATAGTAATTCTATTTAAAAATTAATTTCAGTGAAGTTTTGCCAGAAAGATACAGAAACTTGGAAATAAAGTTCTCATTTCAGCACAAAAATAGGTGATATTAAACAGTAAGAGAATTCCATGTATTCACACCATGGCATCATTTAGTATGTTTAAACTGAGTCATCTGAAAAGTCATGATGTATCTTTCTGGTTGTCTATGCAGAAATGTGTTCTGACTTTTCTGATGACCCGATAATTATAGGCATTTAAAAATGAATAAATATGTGTAATGTTTCAAACAGAAATTTAAAAATTGGAGAACAAGTGAAATAACAAAATGAAGCTCAGTAAGACCAATTGAAGACGTACTGGGTGGGGGGGGTGAACTACAGAAATATTTTTAAAATCCTGGCTCATTATTGCAAACACAGTGAGCAAAAATTAAAGGTAACTGACAAGAGCACTTAGCAAAGGAAACAGGTAATTTTTAAAAAGAAAGCACAAGTACAATACTGAAAAGAATAGTTCATGTGCAGAAATGCTTTCCTACTGAGGGTTTTTCTTAATTAAGAGATAATAATAAAATTAAAAGAAGCAATAAATTGACTTTGGCCTGCAGGCTAAAGGCATATGGGACTTCGAATTAATCTTTTCAATCAATTCATCAGACACCTTTCACAAATCCAATTCTGGATTTCGGTACAAGGAGTTTGTAGAACTTTGAGGAAACAGAAAGTTATTAAATAATTTTAAGAAGACCTAATTAGAAAGTATACTTTTTTTAATCCAACAAAGAGAGGTGCAATAGGTGATCTTCATGAAAAGAGACCTTAACGAATGATAACATACCAGCTGTAGATATTGTTACTAAAATAAGAATAAGAAAGTCTTCAGTGTGAAGGATTTATATTAACTCCAGAAAAGAGATTTTTTTAACAGTAGGAAATTAATTACTGAAATCAATAATCAGAAGATTTGCTTTTTAAAAATCGAATATTATTGGTGGCCTCGTATGGATTAAGTGGGATGGTATCTTACAATAATGTATTGTAATTCTAGGAGCCCATAATCCTATGATTCTTTTATTTTGAATTTTAAAATACATTAAAGTTTTACTGTTTAGTCACAAAATATTTTATTCCTTGAAAATAGGATATCAATCTTAATTTTTCCAAACTCTTTGGTTTTTTTTTAAAAGAAGAATTATTGGTATAACTTTTCCTTCCAGCTATACATATTTCATAATATCTTTTAAATTATCCAGAATGTCATAACTTAACTATATATATATTTTAAAAAACCTTCATTTTCAGAGTCTGAAAATACAAATATCCTCAGGAATACTTCAGAAATAGAAGGTATGCAATCCCGTAGGGGGCAAATGCCTGCCTCTTAAATTTTATCTTTATTTGAAAGGATCTTCAATCTACAACATTTCCTTTTTCCATATTTTGGAAAATATTCTTGTACAGATAAGTCCTTCTGTCTCAAATAAGCATGAAATACTGGTCCAATAAATTAACTAAGAATGTGCAGATTTCCTGTTAACCTGTATTTAATAAAATCCTCTGCAGTTCTCAAGTGGAGGTTACAAAACATGAAAAAGAAGAAATATATTTTCTACTAGGATAAGAATGTCAAATTTAATATATAATTGTCACAATCAATTAGCCAAAAGATCTCATTTATGTCTTTCCGAGGAAACTGATGGATTTCCAGTAAGGAACTGCTGGTTCAACCTAGCGATGCCACAAATGCATTGATATTGTAGATATAAATTTGTAGTCTAGATTTGAAAGAAGCACTTAGGATGAAGTTCACAATTTTAAAAAATTTGCCTTCTTCTTCTTTTGTTTATAAACCAGAGTGATTTAAAAGAATCCTTGTATTTAAGATGCGAAGAAATTACAAGAATATGTTTTCAAATAAAGGGAACATAATTCTTCAAAGAGCTGTTAACTGGAGTTATAGATGATCAGCGCTGCTATTGACAAGTCATTTTTAATCTTAAAATCAATTTCCATGGACATACAAGACTAATCTGGCTCCCGCGTGACCTTTTTCCATCGTCTGTATTAATGCCCCAAGATGAGTTGTGTCTGAAATTAAATTCGTCTTTATTTAAATGCCAACTTAACTGCCATTGTCCCTGATATATTGCCTTTGTAGCCCTGTTATGTTAACACCTGAATGATTTCATCTAGACAACTAGTTCATCTCTATTACTCAAGGTATAATTGAAAGAGATACTTAGTATTAAGATATGTTCCCTAATTGAGGATTTTCCAGGAATAATATTCTATTTAAGAAGAAGAGGCATGATTAATTGCCTTTAGTGTAAGGGCAAGAGTGCATCGAAATATGCAGTGTAAAATGTTTGCATGAGATATTTCACATCATGTAAGCTTTCCCATATTCATAATATGAGCACTATAGAAGTCTTATTTCTCTTGTGATCTTCTGTCTACTAGGAATGTAAGGGGATTGCTAACTATATCCAGTCTCCTTTCCATAATGAAGTGCATGGCTCTAACCCTCAGTGTATTTTTATCCCTCTCCTCTGGAGTTACTTAAAATTCGCCCTATTTAAACTGAAGCCTGGATAACTGCTGAGCCAGATTATTTCAGTAGTTGGAGTTTAATTGCTACAGAACACTTGTTGAAAACACATTTTTATTTTAACTTTTATTTCTTTCAGAATCACTTCTCTGATCACTTTGGTTCTCTAATAAAAACACTGAGAAGTAATCTGATGCTTCTTAGTACGAATATAAATCCTTCTTTTTAAACAGTCATTTTCGAACAAGAATCAGAGAACTATAGAGTAAAGGGACATGTCTTTGTCCTGTTGAAAAGTATTGTTCTATGATAATGGAGATACAGAGTGAATCATTGGGTTCTTAGATACGATTAAATCTTAGAGGAAATGGTCATTTTAACGTTATTGCCACAAAATTCGTAAGCTCAATGGTTTGACTGTTAGAGTCAATTAAGCAATCCTTTGAAAATCTTTTAGTACATTTTTGTAATGTACTCAGTGTTTTTATTTGCATGATTATACATACGTGGTGAACCATACCGGATTCTGATATTGTATTTCTTTCCAGTATTAATGTTTGTGTCATGTGTGGCCAACCCTCATTTGTACACTATATGATTACTGTTGTAATGATTCAGCTCTTCCTACTTCTAATTGCAGTTTTATTATTATGTCTTTTGGGATTAAATGATGTGAAGTGTTTCCACCTAATGATACTACCATCTGAAAACATGACTCAAAGACTGATCTAAGGAACATTTTTGTTGCTATTTTTAAAACTCCAAATTTCAAAGGAAACGTTCTCAAAGGCATATGCATTTATTTTACATTCAAAAAATTCTTACGAGTTTTATTGCTTGTCCTTTTCAATTTTTTTATTGTAGACAATCCTAAGTGAATGTCTCATGGGAGAATCCACATGATATGTGCTTGTATTTGTGTAACCTGATCATGCACTCAGTGGTTGGGGAAGAGGCACTCCAGTGCAAAGAAAGTAACCCGAAGCCAGTATGATGATTCTGCTATCTCGGTTTATGTTATCAACTGACTATGGTGTAATGCATAACTTTTTCCAGTAAATAAACTGGTGTCTTTTGTTCATTTCATCAGTGCTACCTTTTTATTAGTTTGACCAACTTTGCTGTATGTCGTCTTGATTTATACTTACAAAAAGATGTATTTGAATTTTTTTTTTTGGAGAGGTTTTTCGCTATAGGGCACATGCACTCGCCAGACAGAGAGAGACAGAGAGACAGAAAGCGAGAAATCACCCCCCAGGGGGGGATAGCCACGCTGCAATCCCTTCTCCTCCATTCTCCTCTCAGGATCTTGGGCATGCACGCACACGCGCCGGGCGTGAGTTTTAAGCCACCGGGTCTGGGACGCGAACCGCGGTCGACTACGTGGGAGTCCAGTGACACAGCCATTACACTAACTGCTGGTTCCCAAGATGTATTTGAATTTATGACATAGTTTATCAACACGAGAACTTTATATTTGAACTAAAAACTGAATGCTTTTCTTTAACATGTCTACAAATTCCTGTTACGTTGTATATATCAATTTTGCGCATTCTCTCCATTTATCATCACTCCTACTTGTAATCTTTTCTCAAAGGGTCTTTTGGCAGGAAGCTTTTTTTTTATTTTCCTTTTTGTTTTGGAGAGAGATTTGCTATAGGCCACATGCGCTTGCTGGAGAGACAGAGACAGAATGCAAGAAATCACCACCCACCAAGGGGGAATGGCCATGCTGCAATCCCTTCTCTTTCATACTCCTCCCGGCATTTTGGGATTTGGGGCACACATGCACACACGCCAGGTGTGAGTTTCAAGCCACTGGGTCCAGGACTAATTTCAATAAAAACTATATCGACATGGAGGGAACCAGCAGTTAGTGTAATGGCTATGTTGCTGGACTCCCCCCTAGTCGACTGCGGTTCGCGTCCTGGACCCGGTGGCTTAGAATCCACACCGGGCGCGTGTGCGTGCGTGCCCAAGATCCTGAGAGGAGAATGGAGGAAAAGGGATTGCGGCATGACCATCCCCCCTGGGGGGTGATTTCTCGCTTTCTGTCTCTCTGTCTCTCTCTGTCTGTCTGGCGAGCGCACGCGCCCTATAGCGAAAACCTCTCCAAAAAAAAAACTATATCGACATGGAGAAAATGCCTGTTCTAAAAAATAAATTATTTTTTAACTTGCCAGAGGGCACATGTGCTCATCAGTGAGAGAAAGAGAGACAAAGAGACATAAGGAGACAGAGAGAAAGCACTCCCCAGTGGGTTACAGTCATGCTACAATCCCTTCTGCTCCATTCTCAGTCCTGTTGGGATTTGAGACACCCACACATGTCCCCAGCATGTTTGTTTTTTTTTTTAAGAATTATTTTATCTTGTTTATTATTATTTTTAAATTTCACCAGAGAGAGAGAGGGAAAGTGAGAAAGAAAGCCGCCGGGT